TAACTCGAGTTAAGCGTCTACACGGGGCCTTAACTCGAGTTAAGCTCACTCGAGTTAGCGTTAACTCGAGTTAGCTTAACCTCGCCAGTCGATCGAGGTTAAGCTAACTCGAGTTACCTTAACTCGAGTTAAGGCCCCGTGTAGACGCTTAACTCAAGTTAGCGAATAGTACATAACTCCACGATAGGCGGCAACACTAGTACGATGTACGTACACACGCACGCACGCACGCATGCACGCACGTGTACGTGCACACGCACGCACAAACGTGTACCTGCGCACGCGCGCACGCACGCACGTGGACTTGCACACGCACGAACGCCCGTGTACGTACACACGTACGCACGCACGCACGCAAGTATACGTGCACACGCACGCACACACGCACGCACGTTTACATACACACGCACGCACGCACGCATGCATAATAAATCGGTAATAATCGCTATCGGGTGTTGTCGTGTAGACGCTACATAATCGCTAACTCGAGTTAAGGTTCGTCGTGTAGACGCTACATAATCGCTAACTCGAGTTAACGCGTAACTCGAGTTAAGGTTCGTCGTGTAGACGAGGCTATAGGCTTCATGTGTGGGTATACGTGCACGTACTTGCACGCGCGTGCGGTTGTACGTGCACGTACTTGCACGCGCGGTGCGGCTGTACGTGCACGTACTTGCACGCGCGTGCGTGCACATATGCGATGCGTAAATAATATCAAATTAATTTAATTGTATCATAATTTCAATTTAATGTAGGTGTCGCTGTCAGGTCATTTATATCAGATCATTGTAATTGAACTGACATTGAATTGTAGATATTGTTCTCCTAAAAGCATTACATTTTTGTAATATGTTACAAACTAATCATTTCCTTGTTCGTATTACGTTGTTATAATCCTAATTGTAGCATTTCATCTTGTTTACTGCGGTGTTATTTAATTTACCTTTACGGGCAACTCTCATGCTTATGTTATTATAATTGTCATGTTATATGCAGAGCATTTCCTCAGTAATCCCTAATAAGTTTTTTAAATTTTGTTCATGTACTATTAGCAATAATTATGTTTAATTTCTATCATCCTAATTATATGATAATTTCAATGCAGTAGATTATTTTCCTACACTAGATGTCGCTGCCAGATATATTATATTATATATATATATATATCGGACTGACCACTGATCTCTATATACAAAGTATTAGTAGAATAGTTAGTTAGTATTAATTAGTATTAGTAGTTAGCATATAGTTATATAATATATAGATAGTATATAGAGATCAATGGGACTAACGTCTTGTGCACTGCGCAATTCACTTTGACATGATCAGGACATGATGAATAATAATAGATTATGCTATTAATATTGTTGTCATATGTTATATGCTAACCATTTCCTCGTTTATGCCAACGATTTGCTCTTTTATATACTAACTGTTATTGTAAATTATTCCATTGCTACGTGTACGTGTACGTGCTGTGTTGTATATTTTTTATAAATAACCAGAAGCCAGAACATAGCGACCGTTTATTTTCTGCTTTCTCCTGCGACTGGTTTATCCTCCAGTGTCAATTATCCGATGATCATTGGCTATCCCACATTCAGTTTTATTCGACAGCCAATCGATATAATGTGATATATACAGGACATATATATGTATCGTACAGAGTTGTACTGCGCGCACAAACATACAAATTTTACAAATGTCATGCCGTTTGACAATGCGTCACATATACCGCCATTGACGTACCAATCACTTTTTAAACAATAGCTAACAATAGTTCCGTACCATAGATATCATATAACAAGTTGTTATATGATATCTATGTTCCGTACTGTATTATTCTGCAGAATAATTAATAATGAACCAGTTTTCATACGTTTACTGCGACTTGTTTCACTCTTACTGCCTCTTCCGCATTATCTGACATTTTTCGATTATCCAACCACTTATAGGTACTGATTAGGTCGGAAAATAGGGACTTAACTATATATGTGCACGTGCGCGCATGTGTGTAGGTGTGTGCCTGCGCAAGCATGCTTGCGTGCGTGCGTGTTGTATGATGTAGTATTGGTAAGTAGGCGTTCAATCTTCATTGTCGTCCTCCAGTGTCTGCGTTCTACATGGTCATGATACCCCTCCATACAATGACTGCAGGAACCTACCTACCACAAGAAACATCTTCTGTAAATAAGCTTATATTTTTGGTGATGAACAATAACTAACCATAGATCTGTAACATCTGTCAGCCCCTCTATCTATCTATCTTTTTGTCCGTTTCTCACGCTCTCTATCTATTAGTCTGTCTCTCTACCTTTCTATCTTTTTGTGTGTTACTCACGCTCTCTATCTATCAGTCTGTCTCTCTATCTTTCTATCTTTTTGTCTGTTTCTCACGCTCTCTATCTATCAGTCTGCCTCTCTACCTTTCTATCTTTTTGTCTGTTGCTCACGCTCTCTATCAGTCTGTCTCTCTATCTTCTGCCGTTTCTTGCACGCTGCTTCCACGGTATCCTAATTATTTCCAATTATCCAAATCTTACTGCATATATGCATAAGTGCATGCGTTGGTGTGTGTGTCCGGGAACCTGCGCATGTGTGCGTGTAGACGTCTATCTGCCCACAGTCCGTATGTTCTGCATCCACCAGTGATAATGAGATGTCTCTTTGCGGTGACAGTGAGATCATACCTGTGCGAAAACAGCAACATAGATCTGCAGTTAACTAACTTATATATTGGTTTACGAATAAAACGATTAAATCCTGTATTTGCTACTGCTACTATTTCTCATACTTTGTGCCATCACACAATATAAATTTATATGTTTACAATAACGTTCTAATTAGTGCTCGTAAGGTTTGTGATGGTTTGTATGAATCTTAGGCCCTATTATATGTTCTATATATATAGGTGGCTGTCTCTCTCTCTCTCGCTCTCTTGCTCTCTTGCCATCTTTCTCTATCTATCAGTCTATGTCTCTCCATCTCTATCTCCCAGTATGTCTCTCTACCTTTCCACCGTTACTTCACTCTGCTTCCAGTATTCTAATTATTTTCGATTATCCAAACCTACCTGCATATATGCTGCTTACATTCATGCGTTGGTGCGTGTGTCCGGGAACCTGCGCATGTATGCGTGTACACGTCTGTCTGCCCACAGTCCGTCTGTTCTGCATCCACCAGTGATAATGAGATGTCTCTCCTTGCGGTGACTGTGAGATCATACCTGTGGAAAAAAAACAGCAACTGCTCCAGTAAACTAACTCATCTCTCGCTCTCGCTCTCGCTCTCGCTCTCGCTCTCGCTCTCGCTCTCGCTCTCGCTCTCGCTCTCTCTCTCTCTCTATCTATCTATCTATCAGTCTGTCTCTCTACCTTTTTATCGTTTCGTACCCTCTGCTTCCACAGTATTCTAATTATTTTCGATTATCCAAACCTACCTGCATATATGCTGCTTACATGCATGCGTTGGTGCGTGTGCAGGGTCTCCAACCCTGTGAACTCCAAATGCGGAATGAAATTGATGGACAGCGGGGGGGGGGATTAACCTTGGCTGTCGCAGGCAGGCCCGCGTGTCGTAGGCATGCCAGTGCTAGGAAAATTTTATCTTGGGCCTGATGGAACCATGCTCGTCAAGAAACCGTGTTGGATCAAACTTCTCAGGATCAGTCCAGTATGCTGGATCGTGATGGAGTCCGTACAGGTTGATCATCACCATCGTGTCTTTTGGAACATCATAACCACCTGAGTGAGAGAAACATATATAATCAGTAGCTCCATCAGATGGCGGACTTTTTATGCCCTCCAATACTTGGCCTCTCATGCACCCTCTCTATTTTGAAGGCTCTTGGTGATAAATATGAGTGTGCAACATTTCTGCATTTTGATATCTAAACAATGGACGCAGCTGAATATAGCATTGACGCAGTTGTTGAAAGATTCATTTCGTAAAATTAAAATAAACCTTAATAAAATTAAATTTAAAACTAAAACTTTATTTTGGCTACAGAACACCCTGCGCTATTCCACAATGAAAGTGTCAATGACACTGTAGCTCACCACAAAAAAGGACACAAATGAGTGAGTAAGAAGAAGTCAGTTTTAATTGAGCAACCATCGACGTACATTATAGAAACGATTGTAATCTGTATATCGCAATAATAATTTATAAAACAAAATGAATTACAATTTGTGACCGTAGATGGCGCTATACCCACTTTGTAGCGATGGCGTTTGAAATAAATAGGTTATGCTGCATTCCGACATGTTTTGTAAATCTTTACTCTAATATAGAAGTTTTATCGGCAGGGTGGAGAGGAAATACCAATTTTGCATTAAAGATATTGTCAATGAAATCTTGTAAAACGAACCAGACGAGTGTGACACCACAGACTGTTTGTGTCTATATAATATGCTATATAATTGCCAAACCCTACCTAATTTGCATATTATTTTTTTAGATATCATAACCCCTAGCCCTTATTCATTCACATACCAAAAATGAGCAAAATCAGTTGAACCTGAACTGACTAATGGCAATTCCCATTTTTGCCAAAAAATTGCCGTGGCTCGAAAGTACGTCGACTAGCGTGCTTCAAAATAGGACGTTTAATATGGGAGCATAGCAGTAACAACTATACCCAATTTCAAACATGTGGGCCAAACGGTTCCTGAGTTATCGTTGACCAAAGCGAAATGTTGACGGACGGACGGACGGACGGACGGACGGACGAACGAACGAACGGACGTACGACGGACGACGACCCATGGCAATAGCTCAGCTTGACGATGTCAAGGTGAGCTAAAAACCAGGCACTAAGGAACCCTTTGTTTTTCCTCTAACCGAGGTCCCCAGATATTACTTATATATGTGGCATTATTTTGGTAAACCTTTACTAGACGTGTGTGAAAAATTTTCGTCAACGAAGTAGTAACGCGTGGAATCTAATCCAGCAAATTCTTCTATATACGATAATGTCAGGAGTCTATCAATCTATCAATCTATCAATCTATCAATCTATCAATTCCTAAGACCTCGAAAACAAAGACCTCTCGAAAAATATACTGAAGCACTAAAAATCTTCGTTAATTGGTGTTTCGCAAACATTGTCTACCATATCCGCAAATAATAGCAGGGTCTTTGTTTTCGAGATTACCACCCCCCCCAAAAAAAATCTCGAAAACGAAGACCCCCATTTTTTAGCCGAATTAATTACTATCAATGTAGACAAGCCGGCTGTGCTCAAACAACACACTCTATCCGACATTTTCGCCGTCAAGAAGCAATGGTTGTTGTTCCAAATAAACTGTGCATGGGTTGCCTGTGTTTTCTTGCAAAAAATTATCTTTAGTCTCCCACTGTTATAAATGCCTTTAATTCTAGTCACAAGTGATCTATGTATTCATTGTTTATTATTTATAAGCGCAGACCTGTAAAAGTCTCAGCATATTCGCAAATAATAGCAGGGTCTTAGTTTTCGAGATTATCCCCCCAAAATCTCGAAAACAAAGACCCCCATTTTTTTAGCAGAATTAATTACTATCAATGTAGACAAGCCGGCTGTGCTCAAACAACATACTCTATCCGACATTTTCGCCGTCAAGAAGCAATGGTTGTTGTTCTAAATAAACTGTGCATGGGTTGCCTGTGTTTTCTTGCAAAAAATTAAAAAATTAAAAAATATAATTTGGAACAACAACACCCTGGCGCCACGCACACGTGATGGGTAGCTTGGAACAGCTGCTAGACGAGGTAGAGGCCTCCACATAACACCTCTACCCGCTTCCTGTCTCTTCTCTTCTTTTTTCGCTCCACATTTGGAACGGACGCGCTTGACGTGTCGTGAGACACACACGATTAGTGTATCTCTTCCACCCACACCGTCGCTTAATTCTCCAGCACTATCACCTCTGACTGCTTTAGCCTTTACAATCCTCCTTCTCCTCTAAATCTTTCCTACTGACCCCACTCCTACTATCCCACGCCCTCCCCTCACCTGATGGGTCATACGGCGGCAACCTCCGAGAACCCCTACCCAACGGGGGGACTCAAAGTAAGCGGCTGTACGGTGAATAACACAACACACCCGACGTGGGGTCATTCCCTCACCCGCAGCAGGGACCATATAACCAACCTACATACCCTAGTATCTTACACGTCCGGACGGGGTAACGCGCGGATCGCGTAAACCGCACAAACAGGGGAGGAACAGACACCTGTTATTGTTTCTTACACGATCTGTAACGTGCCACATGTTTTGTTTTTTCAAAAAAACAACCCCTTCCTCTCCACAAACGACATGACGAAAGAGTTTATGACGTCACAAACGCCCCAATACACGTGTACAGCACGTTTGTAGACCTCATCGACCCGGTGTAAACCTACACACACGTCATGAATGCCATGACGCAAACGGCAGACGTTTCAGCCAATCAGGAGCGAGTACAGATCACGAAATCAGATGCGCCCCCCTATGATGCGCCCCCTTCAGTGAGCGGCGCCCCCTTTTGGCGCCCCCTACGCACTGGGCGCCCCCTTTTGGCACCCCCTGCGCCCCCTTTTAGCGCCCCCCAAACTACGTGGCGCCCCCTTTCTGTACACGGCGCCCCCTTTTAGCGCCCCCGGAACACCCCGGCGCCCCTCGGCGCCCCCTATTGGCGCCCCCTCGTAGACAGGGACCTAGGGTATATCAAGGAGCTACATATAACAAGGAGAGGAAGCGGATTGGCTGTGTGTATTTCGCCTCAAGGACGCCATCTATGGACCATAATCAGCTGAAACGGCTGTGCAGATCCGTCCCCCAGAGACGATAGAACACTAATCTGTTCTGGACCAATATGACCAAATATGGCAAATATTTGGGCCAGATATGGCGGCGCTTCCTCTCCTTGTTATATTTAGCTCTTTGGGGTATATAAGGAAGAGAAAACACGCTGAAGAACACAGTTTTTTTCAGCTGTAAAAAGTTAGAAGAACCTGACAAAGACTACCACAAGTCGAAACTAGTCGTTAATTGCTAACTTCGTGTAGCAATTTCTTAAACGAAACTTTTTTTATATACATTTATAATGGCAACAACAAACCATCAAGCTAAATCCTCGTGGGGTAGCTCAGTCGAGCTGTGCCTCGTAGAGGCTGTCCAGGCCTCTTCTACACATATGTCCTTAAATTCACCAGACCAGGAAGGCCCAGCATCCCATGGATCCGGGTACAGCAGCACCCTTATCACCACACTCATGGATTTAGACTTACCCTCCCTCCGAAACCAAGGGGAGGTCGCGAGTAATATCCCTGCCTTTTCGCAGCAACACGACAAGAAGAGAAGAAGAACTACAGAAGACTCGCCAGTCATGCAGCCGCGCAAAGTTATAGGGGTCCACCCAACTGACACCCCTATAATGATAGACGCTGCAACATCTCCAATCCAGATCAATATCAACAAAAATGCACCCGGGTTATGAGTACCCAAAGAAGCTGAGCCTGTGTTCCGCAAACTGCGCAACCTGAAGGATAAGCTTCAAAGGTACGAGACTCCAAAATCTCGTTTGGAAGAAAGCGTTGAACACCTCCGTGACATTACCAAACGAGACATGAGCAGACCCGTCAGTGCTCATTTTATACGCGACAACCACACCGCAGCGGATTTTCAGTGCAGGGGCATTGAAAAAATATTCTCGGACCCCCCCGAACATCCACACACGATCCGCATCAGAAGGAAAATAGAAGCCTATTGAATCCACAATCTAAACACCATCCAACCGTACGGACTCAACCTACGGGTCGAAATACCGGGATGGATAGAAGATTATCACAATAACCCTGCCAGCATGGAATCAACGTGAGGCTATCCCTAGCCAGACGACCCCAGGGTAGCGAGCAGTTCGATTCACTTTTTAACACACCTATATATTACATTAAAGGTAGTAGCCCTCATTTGCACACCCTCCCAATTTCCTTAAAACTTCCTTTCTAGATGCCAATTGGCATCAGGGTATTTTCTTTGAGTTCTTAAGGCGTCTTCCAGTCGCATTAAGAGGAAAACGTTTAATTTCTCATTTAAATGTCACATTATAACCATAAATCCAATGCTGTGATATGTTTACTTTGATGGGTCCTCATTTTAAGTTACACTGAGCCCAAATTTGTTCGAGACCTCCCACGATGCTTTGCAAATGATGGCTACTACCTTTAAAGGAAAAGGGATCCCAGTCATTTTTTTTATCTCAGACTTCAGTATCAATAAAAAGAAACAAGTTTCACTCAGTGAATGGTTGTGATTCCAGTACATGTGAAAAGTGTTAAGTTTAAATTTTGTTTTGAGATAAATTCAAGAGATACATAAAGATATCATAGTTGAAGCTACCATACTTCAACACGTTAAATTCTGAATATATTGTTTGCCCTCCACCCATCCTCAAAATGGATCGAAGCCCCTGATGGAATACAATCAGCGATATACACAAAGAAGTAAAAAAAAAAATATTTAAAATGGAAAGTTTTGAAAATTTATCGACCACTATTGATCAGATGACTTAGTTTATGGCATGTAAATGATACAAACAATAGTTGATACTTGCAATTAAAATGCGCGAAAATGAACCTTTTAGAGATCAAAAATACGAAAAGTTCCTACCATTGGACGACGGGGGATAGCCCCGCGCGCCCTCCCCGCTCCCCTCGGCCACTTCGCTCCTTCGCAGGCTCTTGAACCACGTCTGGTCCCCCCACTTTTTAAAATGGATTT